GTGTTTATACTATAGATTAGTCAGTACCAAAGGCAAAACTGAACTAACTGAACAAAATAACTGAAGATCACAGTGAAGAGAAACAGCACACACAAATGAATAATGTTTAACCAGAGGACAAACCAAGAAAACCATTAAACAGCATTACATTCAGTTCAAATGTTGTAGTTTGTCTTTTATTTATTGTTTGCAGCACATAATGTGAATGTACATGTGTTATCTCTCTATTTCTGAAGGGGTTTTCAAACTCTTATTTTAATCAATATATCTGTTTGTCTACACTCGCTATTACAATACTGATGTTAAATACTATTTTTTTGCTGTCATTACTTAAAATTCAGGATAAATGTCAATAAAAATATTAATATTTCTCCTCAGAAACTAAGACAGGGTTGACGTGTCTTGGTTGTTAGAAATGATTTATTATTATCAGTAAAATCAAATTTAGCAGCTCTTATTTATTTATTTGTTCTTTTTATTATATGTTTAAAGGCAAATAACATTAGGGCAGTGGTGCTCAAACTGTGGCAGGCTTCCTTTAGTGGTACGCGGAGGAATGAAATATGTCATGTACATGCTACACATATTTCAAAATGTATCTAAAATGATGGATATAATATGCCGTATATGACATATAGCCTATATTTCTGAGGTAATCTGCCACGTTTTTTAACTGTGCAGAGTTGTAGCTGCTTTATTGGGCCTACTACGCTACTGTATTTCAATACTGCTCATTTTGGTGGCACTTGGAGAGACAATTTTTTTCTGAGGTGGTACTTGATGAAAACAGTTTGAGAACCACTGCATTAGGGAATACATAGTTATGCACAAATCATTATAAAAGGGAATGTTTAAATTAAATACAGATAACTTAGTCATCTTAATAGATCTTTACAGTAACTCTTTATTGAAATCAGGGAATGATTAAAACCTTTAAATCGGTGGAAAAGAGTTCACAGATTCAGGATCAGTTAGCACAAACCAAAGGAGAAAAACTGAAATAAATCTGACATACCTTGATCAGAAATCTAAAAAGGAGAGTAAATGCTAAAGCCATTGTGGTCAGCACGTTTCATTATGACGCCGCTGACCGGAGTTCAAACCTCACCCGAGTCATTTATTTTCATTTTTAGTGCTAAGACATGTAATACTGTTTGGGTTACTAATATAGGTGTACATATTTTATTTTTCGTGTGAGCTCCGTTATAAAGGACTGGATATCTATAAAGAATTTAGCACAGAATATATATTCAGATATTGCAGGAAAGGACGTTGTGCTGTTGTAAAGAATAGTGTTGGAGATTCAGCTACCCTTTAATCTTAAAAGCAGCTGTGTGCTTGAATAAGACGTGATCGTGTCATTAGAAACTGAACTGGAAATGACCTGATTTTAATATAGTCAGTCGTGAACTGAGGTGGGCCGGTCTAAGCCTTGAAACTCCAGGGCTGTAAAGGGGCTGTATTTCTTAGCCACAATTTTTTTTTAATTAATGTGTCAAAACAAGCTGAATATAGCTGTATACATCCTCTTTTTGTTTAAAAAAAAAACTTTTCTGGCTAAAGGTTCCTGATCACCACCCAGACAGCACACATACGTTGGGCCGACGTCGGCCGAAGGTCAACACGTCGGCCCCTTTAATTCTAACATCGGTATATGGTCGGCCAAACATACGCATGATCGTTCGGTCGTGTGTTCTATTGTTCCAGCTCAACAAACGTCGGCTCTGCATCGGTTAACGACCAGAGGCCGACGAAGCACTTCATAAGCACTTTATCTCTCATGCCCATGAAGGAATCCGGCAACATATTTGGTTTACAAGTAAGTTTTTGCGTGCATAATAAATTAGACAAACGCGACATGCATCATGTGAACTGCGTCGGTCGGTCCAGCTTTAAATAGTCTACATTAATGCAGTAAAACTGACCAAAATGCCTACAACACATGATTTCAATTCATTAAAATATAAAAAGTTTTGTTGTTATGCTTAAATAATGAAAACGTTGTTTTTTTCTGGTGTTAACTGCTGTTTGCTTTTTTTTATTGTGGCTTTTTCTAATACATTTTTCCCAGTGTAAAAATCAAGTATGTTCTGCATGTTCGGCTGTTTAATTAAAATAAACACCTTTTTACAGAGTGACATCTTTGTTTTATATATACTTGCATTTATATTTATTGGTTATTTATTTTTGACAGTGAATCTGATGCACAAATAAGTGTTTGTTTTGTAACAGATTAGTAGGCTATAAAGCTCGTCTTAAAGATAATAGCGTATATAAAACTACTAAATACATTTTAAATTCAATATATAAAATACAAGGTTATTATTTAAATAGTCTATGAAGTGATCATGTTTATAAATGTAATACTGCATGACTTTGATGTGCGCGCGCGCGTCTCATTCCAACACTGGAGCGGAGGGGATGTTGCTATGGGAAACGAAGCTACAACACGACACGACACCACCTGAAAGACACAACACGACTTCTCTCAAGCTGCCGTTTTGACAGTTTTCAGGTAAGTTTAGTCCCTAAAACAAAGCAAATACTACATAAAACTGTTCCTCACACTTTTATTATTGGCAATTGATGAATATTCAGTTGAATATTATGTTATATAAGAGTGGTAAGTCTTCGTAAAAGTCCGTTAGCATATTAGCACTGGTAACGTTAGCGTCGGGGTAATATTAACGTTACGTTAACTTACTTAATGTAAGCTCTTGTTAAACTTGTTTGTTAAAGTTTAGGCTTTTATTTATTCTTTATGTGTAGATGAGAGGTTTTGTCAATGTTTTATTTAATGCACTCCATACGTAACGTTAGTCTAATACGCATTGTACTGTAAAGGACCGTGAATCAAAAGTTCAATCGTGTTTTGATATTTCATAGTAACGTTATCTTAAACAAATGTTAAGTAAAAAAGTGTTCTGTGGTTTCAGGAGTGAGAGAATAACCCCCTGCTACAGAAAACATAACACAACATTCCTAAATTTCTGAAGGGAGCTAATCACAGAGATGCAGAAAAGACAGGTAACTTTAAGCAGAGGATTAACTCATATGAATTTCCATTGCACATCATTATGCACATGTTACATGTCTATATATTATGCATCTGTTACTTGTCTTTATTGCAGTTATTTTAAGAAAGTTTTGACATTGAAACATGTGAGTGGTGTTAAATTTCACATCACATGATTCTTCAGAACTTAATAAATATGCAGATTTGCTGCTAATGAAGTAATATTTGTTATTTTCATTTTGTTTAATTTTTTTATGATTAATTGATTTATTAAATCTTAGAAAAAAGTTTACACTAAATTATTTGTCATCACATCTGTTTTTAGCATTGATAGCAATCAGAAATGTTTCTTGAGCAGCAAATCAGCACCATTTGATAATCACCATTATATTAGTTCAACCTCAAGCACTAAATCAACATCTTTAAAAAAGATTTCTGAAAGATCAAGTGACGCTGAAGACTTGAGTAATGATGCTGAAAATTCAGCTTTACATCATAGCTATGAATTACATGTATATTTACACCGTTCACCCATCCCTTACACCTTAACTCATCCTCAAACAAGTCAATTTAAGCCCTAAATGAATAAATTTTGATTTGTACAGGCATGATATGTCGTTTTGTTTTGTCTTTCTTTTGGTTTTGTTTTTCACATCAACTGAAAAGGAGGTCAAAGTTTAACCTAAGTGCCGTGTAGCTGATGAACATCTTTATATGTAAGTATATTTTTGACGGACTGCCAGACACTTGTCAAACAGTGATGAGCAAACGAGGGGCCGTTCTTTTAAAAAGATCAGGGAGATGCAAGTCTAGAGATTAATATACGTTTTAATTCAAAATTGATTTATCTGGAAAAATTTAATAATGTTTTGAGATGTGCCCTATATGCATTTAGATGTCCATCCATGTTTAAAATACTTTTAAATTTAAAAACGGCTGTAAGTTATAAAAATGTTAAAGTAAATTGAGAAAACATTTTCATCAGTTTGACAACATACACAATCTCACAAATAGCATAGAAAAAGTGACAAAGCTGTCTTCTTTGTCTGTGTTTTATTACTCTCTTTCGCACTCTCGGCCACTGTTTGTAACAGTAATTAGTATAATGTAACAGTAGACAGATGAGGAATGTGAATATGTAGTTTAACTTTAAGGAGCGTTACTACTGGAACCATTTTTTATATATATTATATTTTTATATACATTTTATATATATATGTGTGTATATATATGTATATGTGTGGGTATTGATTTCCCTTTTAAAAAGAATTAAGCAAAAAATTAATTATAAGGTAGATCAGCTCCTGACAGACATGTTAACAGATCAGTTTAACTCTTATTAAATTCATTCATTCATTTTCTTTTCTGCTTAGTCCCTTTATTAATCTGGGGTAACCACAACGGAATGAACTGTCAACTTATCCAGCATATGTTTTACGCAGTGGATGCCCTTACAGCTGCAACCAATCACTGGGAAACAACCATATACGCTTATTCTCACTCATACACTACAGACAATTTAGCCTACCCAATTCACCTGTACCCCATGTCTTTGGACTTGTAGGCAAAACCGGAGCACCCAGAGAAAACCCACGCAAACGCAGGGAGAATTTGCAAACTCCACACAGAAATGCCAGCTGATCCAGCCGAGGCTCGAGTCAGCATCCTTGCTGTAAGGCGACAGCACTACCTATTGTGCCACCACGTCACGCTCTTATTAAATTATATTTATATAATGTTGTGTTTCAGTACATGCTATTTTGGGAAGACAAAATATATTCATAAGCTCTCAGAAAATTCAATAAGAGAATTAACTGCACAATTACTTGAAATGCGTGGATGGGATTACATTATTTGTTAACCCAAAGTGAGTTTCTCTTTCTTTGCAGTATTGGATGCCTGATTGCAGTTCAACTCCAAACTCAGTTGGACCAGCTGATCAGTGTCTTCAGTATTACCACAAGCTACTGGGCAGATGTGTGGACAGCTATGAGCCAAACTTGGGACGTTTGGTTTTTAGGTAATACCAGTGACAAAGTATTCAGGAAATTGCTTATAATAAAAGATGCTCACTGCTTACCCCCATATAGTTAAGTTGTTTGCAGTTTCATTGTTGTAAAAATACCATAATTTTTCCTTTTTTATCAGCAGGTGGAGAGACCGTCTGGGCAGCAGAAACAAGACAACTAATCATAGTTGAGTTGAGATTAGTATTATTAACTTGACTAGTTTGGTTGCAGACTTGTTCAATACTTAACAATTTGTATGAGTTACAAGATCAATGGTCCTGCTATCAATGTTTTTGTAACTTAAATTCATTACAGTTTAGATACAATCAAATGTCCAAACCATCTCTGAGTGAATGACATCAAGGAAACAGGATCAAAAGATCATTCATTATAGACCGTTTCATAGGTAACAGCACATCCTTTGTGAAAAATAATTTATTTTTGTGTCATCATCACAAGACAATATACATTTCAACTGATTTCAGTTGGTTATATTTTTCAGGTCATTCTGTTCTCCTGGTTGTGAGGATGTGCAGAGGCTGTATTTGTCAGTGTTAAAAGACTATCCAGACATACAAGCAGCCGACAAAGAGTTCTGGAGCAGGACAGACAGGTAGTTCACAGTGGCTAGGCTAGAAGTTTATACTTGGTTGGCCAGAAAGTGGCCTCCGCTATTTTGGGGGGTCCATACAAATACACCAGTGTAAGCTATACTATTGCACTGAAAAAAATTAAATGAAAGAATTAATTAATCGGTTGAACACAAAATATTTTAAAGAAAGCTTAAGTATCAAGGTGGCAATATACAGTATGTTACATTGTAGTACATGAGCTGGCTAATACAGACTCGTAAATGTTTAGTTTCTAAGATTAGTTAAATACTGAATCCTATACTTGAGACCGGCTGCATATACACCTTTAACTGAACTGAATTTAACTAGAACTACACCAGCATTCCAAGTGCTCTAGACTAGCTTTTTGCACTGGTGCGTCTAAAATGTTTGATGGCATTGCAATTAACACTGCAATTTTACATGTTAATTTTTTTTAAAATTACAATCCGTATAGGCAATATTGACTTGTAAATGATTAACTAAAATCGGGTCAACACACATTATGGGGATTGTGTGTAGAATTTTGAGGAAATTAATGAATTTAATACATTTTGCAATAAGACTGAAACATTAAAAATGTGGAAAAAGTAAAGCGCTATCAATACTTTCCGGATGCATTGTATATGGTTTTTAGCGCGTTATCAAAGACTTAAAAAAATAGTCCAACATTATTTACAGCAGCAAAAGACCCTCCACATCAAAAGCTACTGGTCAGCTCACGATTCAGCAAACATCTGAAAAACAAATAGCTTATTATGCCTTCACAAGAAATCAGTGTTTTTGAGTCTAATGAAGATTGTACTATTTTATTAAATTATTATTTAGCCTGGCATGTTTACTGTTACAAAATATTTTAAATGTTTCTTAAAATAAAACATATCATGTTCAATGGGGAAAAAGTAGCTGTTTTTTACACAGAGATAAAAAAAAAAACACATTTCAGAGCAGTAATCACAATACTGTGAAACTGTGATATTTTTATCTAAGATTATACCTTCAGAATCTTATACCTGCCCATTCCTAGCCAGTTACTTAAGGCATTCAGTCAGAGTTTTTTTTATTTTTTATTTTTTCAGTTGGCCTTTATTCTGTTTTTCTATGTTCTTGGAAATGCTTCTGTGCATGAAAATGTGACGATATGTCCAGGTTCTATAGTTAATTCTGAAATAAATCTTAAAATGAAACAATATTTAAAAATGCAACATTTAATGTGTCAGACACTAAATAAACATGTCAATTCATTTATATTAATCTGATTCCCTAACAGGGCAGCACGGTGGCGCAGAGGGTAGCACGTTTGCCTCACAGCAAGAAGGTCGCTGCTTCGAGCTTCGGCTGGGTCAGTTGGTGTTTCTGTGTGAAGTTTGCATGCTCTCCCCGTGTTGGCGTGGGTTTCCTCCGGGTGCTCCGGTTTTCCCAAGTCCAAAGAAATAGGTGAATTGGGTATGCTAAAATTGACCATAGTGTATAAGTGTGTGTGAATGAGTGTGTATTGGTTGCAGCTGGAAGGGCATCCGCTGCATAAAACATATGCTGGATAAGTTGGCCTTTCATTCCGCTGTGGCGACCCCAGATTAATAAAGGGACTAAGCCCAAAAGAAAATGAATGAATGAATCCTTAACAGTTAATATTGGTATAATGTGCAGCCGTTGTCATTTATGTAAATTAACCATTTGAGCGTGCTTAGTTTGGGGTATGTTGTGCCATTAAATTGTCAATAGGTTTTATTTTTTTCCTGCATTTTAAATCTGCTTTAGCTTTCTTCTTTCCTATAAACCTGGAAATATAAAATATATATATTTTTGGTTTTTAACAAATTGCTTATTTTATTCTTAGATTGGTGTACGCTGATGGTCTGCTGAGAATTCTGCTGAGTTGAAGGGATCCTCCTTTCAGACAACCTCTCCAAAGTAGAACAGGACTAGTAAGTAACATCTTAAACATACACTACTGTTTCATAGCTTTTAGGTTGGTATGGTAAATTCTCTTCTGATAGTGTCAGCTTTATTTAATTAATACAGTCAAGCAGTAATACTGTGAATTTAATACAGTGTATATAATTAATAGTGTCACATGATCCTTCTGAAAAAATAGTATTCCAATGTACTGATTCTGTCCTCTAGCTGTTTTTTTAAATATAAAACATTTTAAATAGTATTCTTGATGTATAAAAAGTTTATTTTTAAGAGCATAGTATTTATTTGAAAAACAAAAAAGTTTGCTCTTTGATGATTGCTAGCAATCAGACATGTTTCTTTAAAACAAAAAGAATTTGTGCAAAAAAGTATTCTCACTGAGCGTTGTCCAACTGTGGTCCAACACGTCATTTAAGTTTTCAAATAAGCCTAAAAGACTCGATTAGCTGCATCAGGTGCATTTAATTAGAGAGTTGAATATATAATTTCTTTATATATCCTCCTCTATAGCCTACATATAATTGTTTTTGTAGCAGAAATAAAGCTATGATTAGGCTCACCCGGAATTTTTGCAGAACTCCGCAGATGTTTAGCCTATCATTAATTCTGTTTATTTACTTGAGTAAATGTGTGTAAATCTATATTTATTCAGTTTTTAAATTAATTTCAGTAATATTATTGACTAATGTTAAAATGTTCGTCTGATTTATGTACAATGAGGTTTGTACAGTAATATTTTCTGTCTTACTAGATATGTTATATAAAAAACTTGCTTTATTTACCAAATAAAGTGAATCTAATTGGATTTGCATTTTAAACATTAAATAAAACTTAAATATATTATTTTTTTTATTTCATATATTAAGGTTTAAGTTATGATACTCCCAAAATAATTCCGCAGAAATCCGCAGACCTCCACCAAAATTTTCAGCAGAAATAGCAAAAAAACATCTGCAGATTCCTCCTGGCCCTAGCTATTATATATTAAATGTGGTGTACAGTGTGACATTTTAGTTGACGAAACTTAGTTTGATTTGCATGTAATGTGGTATCTGAAGATTAGACATATATTTAGATACAGATTTATACTAACACAATGATACTAAAAACCAAAAAAAAAAACATTCATTATGATTTCATAAGGAATTTAACTTTCAAATGGCTTTTCTGAAAATTAGGGCTCAGACATACTCTTTAAGGTAAAATTAAATTAATTATTTTAGCTAGGCACTTGCATAACACATACTCCAGTTATATGTCATGAAACAAATAATATATATTTGTGGTAATATGAACTGCTGCAATGCTAATCTTTCTCCTTTTGGTTTCTTGCTTTATTTAAGGGTTCCCACAACAAGGATTAGATTTGGCTACTGCAGTCCCGGTTTGGGCCAGCCTCACTTGTGAAGACTAAAGTTGAAGACAACATACAAGAACAATTTAGAGGATGGCAACACACTTTTTATTCCACCTATTTATCCCCTTTTATGTGTAAGCAACATTCCACAAGATAAAACAAAACTAAATGACAGGTTATATCTTTTAATTTTATCTGTTTTCTTGGAACATTGTACACAATTTACAACCAGTTTTTATATATATATATATATATAGGTCAGAGCAAGAAAATGTTATGTTTTCTTCTGGAGAAAGTCTTATTTCTTTTATTTATATTTTAGTTTTGAATTAAAAAAAAAAAAAAACATTTTAAGGTCAATATTATCAGCCTCTTTAAGCAAATTTTTTTTGACTGTCTACAGAACAAACCATCGATATACAATAACTTGCCTAATTACCCTAACCTGCCTAGTTAAGCCTCTAAATGTCACTTTAAGCTGTATAGAAGTGTCTTGAAGAATATCTAGTCAAATATTATTTACTCAGTTATTAGAAACGAGTTATTAAAACTATTGTGATTAGAAATGTGTTAAAAAATATTTCCGTTAAACAGAAATTAAGGGATTATATATATATATATATATATATATATATATATATATATATATATATAATGACAAAATCTGTTTTGTGTCGTGCATTAGTTTGCTTAAAAAAACTGGTTATCTCTGAGAAAGTATTGTTATTTTATATTATTGATGTGTTATTAGTTCATAGGAGATTGCAAATTGTTGAATGCCATTTATAAAAAAAAATTGTATTACAGACTTTAATAAGATTTTATAAGACAATTATTTTAATTTGTATGATTTTATTTACTACTGTAAATATTGTTTGCTTGGTATTTATTTTGTGTTTGTGTTCTCTTTTATTATTGTAACTTCCTGAAGAAAGTCTTTTGGATACTGAACACATGACTGGAATTATCTTGTATTTTAAAATTATAGTCTTGGAAACATGCATTTTCTTTAACACTATTTAAGAAATTATAAGCATTATAACATGTGCTTACACAAGTTATTTGTGTTTTTACTATAGTAAACTATAGTCACCCTTAGTGTACATGTTTTGAAGTACTTGTAAATATTCCTATGGTCTTAATATAAATGCTGCAATGGACTTTGTATTTAAAATCTTAGTTGCACATTAGTTCAGCCATGGTTATAGTACAACTTGTTGGTTTTGTTTTAAACGTGGTAAAACATGGTTATGTGTGATAAAAGTATGTTAATCTATTTGTATGTTTGTGAAAATATGAATAAATCTTCAACTGTTATTGAGAGTGGTGTGTCGTGTTTATTATAAATAAGCAGCTGCTGCAGCTAGTGGTCCATAAGTATGAGCAAAACGCCTGAGAACAGCGCCTCCGCGGCGCGGCCGGTATTTCCGGTTGCGTCGTCCTAACATCGGCCGGACAGCGTTTCCGATCATTTGCCGACGTCGCGGCGACATTTTGCCAATTAGCAAACGCTCCCTGAGCGACATCGCACCGATGGAATTTTGAAAATCGGCACGACGTCGGCCCAACGTATGTGTGCTGTCTGGGCAGTTAACCAAACAGCGAGTTAATCTCCTATTAAAAAAAAATCTTATTATATATATATACACACAATTAAACCATATTACCAAAAATAGCAATCAGCAAAGGAAAGCTGGTGAAAAGGATACCGTGTGATAATAGGATCACGTTAACATTAGAGCTGTTAATAATCGGTTTAAAGAATGGGGAAAGAAAAGAGAAAGCAGTGACCGGCGCCGCTGCTGCTCACAAAAATACATTTATTTTAAATCTGGAGCTCTTGAAAGCAGCAGGTCTGCAGATTCACAAGCATCACCTTTTGTCCAGTCGAGTTTAAAGAGAGCAGATCGCACCAGGTGAGTTTTCAGGCACGGTCGCTTCGCGGAAGAAAACGGGAGCGCGCACGCTTTGTAAACAGCCGCTCGCATCACATGACCTGTGCGCGCGAGTGATCTTTCTTCTGCTCGCGTGAAGACAGTTGTTTTCATCAGTCCTGCTGCTGCTTCTCGATTCTAAGATCACATATGCATACTGGGCTATCTTTATTGTCAAACCCTGCTTTTAAGAAAGCTACAATTTGAAAAGTGTTTCCCGCCAGGAGCGTCTGTCTTACCCGCCGCTGCTGAAATATATACATCCGCATTCTTCCTGTTTACGGAAGCTCTGCTTTCACTTTCGATTTCGTGACTGTTTAAAGTTTATTTTGTGCTGAATGATGTGAAATTATCAAGTCAACCTGATATAGAAGAGCACAAACACTTTTAATAGATAAAAATAACCCACTATATTGTTAACATAACGTGCTTTCACCGTGTTTGGTTTGAGGTTTTGAGCTTCAGGAGCAGACAGTGCTATAAATCACGCTTATAAACACGCTTATACACATATAAACCCTTCATCATCTCCACAAATCAGCATAATGTAGAATTGTTAAACTCACCTGCAGAAGTACAGACGCTCTTGTGCAACAGGAACACAATCTGAGCTCTTTCACTTCACTAAAACACACCTGTGTGATCTACAGGTGTATCCTGAAATAATATTGGCTCCACAGAGCGGTGCTTACATGAATATTCATGAGATTCTCCTGATTGTGGGCGTGTCTTCAAGACAACAAACCGCTGAAGATATCTGTGCAGATTCTCAGAACTCGAGTGTGTTGAAGGAGGATTTTGAGAAAGTTTCAAGAAAACAAATGAGTATTGGAGCTATAAAATAAGAATATAAATAACATTATGGGTCTATATATGAATACAGCACTTACAGATCTCTGTGTTAGTTCATATATTCTATAGGACACTTTACAATAAGACCAACATTAGATCAGTCAGTACTGGAACTGATATAACAAGCAACTCAAGATGATCAGGATGCTGAAACTAGCACAGAATATTACTGTTAGATACAAAATTAGCTGAGCCCAGTGAATATACAAGGGAGAATCACATCAAGTGTTAATAAAGATGAAGAATCAAGAGAAAATAAGACTTTAACTTCAGCTGAAATGTTGTTTTATTCAATATCTCATTTGACTTTACATTAGAATTCAGTTTTCTTTATCAAATACAAACTCATACACACGACAATATCCAGTGAAATGTTTATACGACCAGCCATGACCTTAAAGACAACAAGATTATAAATGAGAAATAAATGACTGAATGAAATAAGAAATAAAATATAGACAAACTTTAGCCATAGGAAATATATCTGTAGAGAATAAAATAAACACATTAAAACCCGTGGCTATACAACTGTAGAGAACTTTAGCTGTAAACTGACTCCATGTACAGTGACACCATAACTGAACTGAACTAGAATACACACAGAGATGTGTGTGTGTGTGTGTGTGTGAGTGGAGTGTGTAACTGTGGCTGAATGTGCAGATGTGTCCACAGACGTGCTGAATGTGTGTGTGCTGTGTGTGTTGTGATTGAGAGAGCGTCTGGGGTCCGTTCTTCGTACGTGGATTACTCAATTAGCTGGATTTGGATGTTGACGCTTTGACACGATCCAGGATCGTTTCGTTCTTCAAAGCTGATCCGAAAGTTGTTGTCATAGCAACAGTTCTGCTAGGTCAAACCTAATCGGGAGAATATCCTAAATGTTCTTCATCTGTCATTTCCAGGAAATCTTCATCAGTGCGAAGGGGGGCATTCATTTCAGGGAATATCACCCTATTGCTCAAATATTCGCCTTCCTGCGTACATTTCTCACACCCCGAGTAGCCTGTGTGCCCTTTTATATTTTTCAAAAAAGCTCGGGCAGGAGCATCACAGACCATTGAGCACAGTTTGAGCCTCATTGATATTCCCTGAAATGAAAAGCCTTTCTCCAACAATGAAGTTTCAGCCACAAAATCTTCCAGGTATTCGGGAAGGCTTGCTGGCTTGCTAGTGCCAAAGAAAAGCCCAATTACAAATGGGTGATGCGGAGGGAGGTTTTTGATGACTCCAAGAATGGGCCAGAATTGGGTGGATGAACTTTTAAATACTGGCAACCCATCCACATTTGCTGGGAGCTCTAAGCATAAGCCAATCCACATTTGTTTGCCTCCAAAGTGTTCTTCATTGAATTCAGGATACCAAAATAATGGTATGTCCCACCAGCCTTTTCCTGGACCACCACTGACTCTGACTGAGAGGTCCTTAGAAGAGTCCTTGCATCAGATGGCAATGATGGATGATGCTCCTTCAGTATTTCTAATAAATTATTAATTGCACTGTGTTATGTTTTCTTTGAGTGCCCATGTTGCAAGTTTGCTTTGTAGATAAGCTTCCTCTTCCTCGTTAGAGCTGCTGTTTTCAGACTGTGAAAAATCTAGCTCCTAGGCAAAGATGATTCATAGTCTGGGAATTCCTCATCTAGATGTTCGGAATTGTAAATTGGTAGACTCTCAGCATTAAAGGAATTATCAGAAGCACACTGAACTGACTTCAGTTGTTGTTTTACCCTTTCTCTAGATTTGCGTTTTAAAGTCCAGTAAGAGGGTGTATTTGCCATACTTAAGAGACACACACAAAACAAAAAAATACAAGACAAAGAAAACAAAGGACACAACAAGAAATGACCATGAGTAACACTATGTAGTAAATACTGTGTAGTTGTCAGATAAAAGATATAATTACAAAGTCAGAGATGACCTTAAAACCTTGTAGTTTTAACAGCTGTTAAGAAACAGAAGACACATGAATGAGTAGGCCTCTAAAAAGTGTCATAGCTTTTAACAAAATTTTAAGCAATTATATTAAATAATTTAAACTGGATGTGCAGTCTTGTTTTAACTTTTAATTATTTTAGGATAGATTTTTTACTCTAAGTGGTCCTGCTATTCTTGGCTCTTAGCCAGCTTGCTATGGTCAGCGAGATGTCACAGATCTATGTCATGTCAGCAACTGTTTTGAAACCAAAGTTCTCTCTCCATAGATACAACTTATGCAAAAGGAACTAAGTGTTTACATACATTGTCATAATAGCATAATCACTTGATAACATGTTACTCATTCTAACTTCTGACACATATAGCTTCACACAAGTATTTAACATATATAATCAGTGCTTTACATATTCAGTTATTCTACACAATCAGTCACTCAGCCTTCTCCTAGTGTTGCTCCTGTGCTGGCATACTCTTCTTACACAGACATATCACTGTATTTTTAACACAGGCTGGCATGTTTGCTGCATACATTTTGAGAAGAGAAAATTAACTGCTTTACACTCAGAAAATACTTCACACAGAGAGAATAAAATCTTCAGTAACAGCTCCGTTTTGATAATCGTTTTCACCAAGTCTTGGATATTATTTACTTCGCTTCCTTCCGGGATTCCAAAAATTCTAATGTTATTTCTACAAGAGCATGTTTCTAGAGCATGTTCTCTTTTTCTCTTTGGATAGACTGATCGAGCATTTCTTTCATCTGAGCAACGTTCTCCAATTCTCCCAACTCGCTGCTCCACTTTGTTGACCTTTTCTGCCGTTGTGTTTAGGTCCATAAAAAGGCCATCCAGTTTTTGATTTACTTCTTGTTTAAAGTTACTTAGTTCCATTTTCACTTCTTTTGTGAGAGAATCTTGGAAGGCGGTTAAGTCAGATTTAATATCCATCTGGAAAACTTTGATGTCTGAATGTATTGCTGCAATGCAAGCTGACAGGCTATCAGCTATCCTGTCTGTCTCTGATTTTTAATCTGTTGATTTCTCTTTTTTTTTTTTTCAGGATTCTTCCCCCCCTTGTTATTTAAATATGGTTTAGGTTATCATATATGATGTAAAAAGGATGATTAATACCAGTGTGTATGGTAGCACTTTTTCTATGCTGCTACACTTGTTGACGACATACCGAAAACCATCCCATGTGTTTCTTAAGCTGCCCCGGATGAGTGAAACTCTGTACACACTGATCATGACTACATTTACTCTCCAGTGTGAATCCTCTCATGTGTTTTCAGGGTTCGTGAGTGAGTAAACCTCTTACTGCAGTGTGAACACTTGTACGTTTTTTTCTCCAGTGTGAATCCTCTGGTGCCTTTTCAAATCTCCAGCTGTAATAAAAGTCTTCTCACACTCCAAGCACATATACTCTCTCACACCAGTGTGAATCTTCATGTGTTTATTAAGGGATGATGATTGGTTGAAACTCTTCCCACACTTAGGGCATGTAAATGGTTTCTCTCCAGTATGGATCCTCATGTGTTTAATAAGGGATGATGATTGGCTGAAACTCTTCCCGCACTGAGAGCATGTGAATAATTTCTCTCCAGTGTGGATCCTCATGTGTTTATTAAGGTATGATGAGCAGCTGAAACTCTTCCCACACTGAGGGCATGTGAATGGTTTCTCACCAGTGTTGATCCTCATGTGTTCATTAAGGTGTGATAACTTCATGAAACTCTTCCCACACTGAGGGCATGTGAATGGTTTCTCTCCAGTGTGGATCTTCATGTGTTTAATAAGGTATGCTGATTGGCTGAAACTCTTCCCACACAGTGTGCATATGAATGGTTTCCTTCCAGTGTGGCTCATCATGTGTTCATTAAGGGATGATGATTGGATAAAACTCTTCTCACACTGAGTGCATGTGAATGGTTTTTCTCCAGTGTGGATCCTCATGTGTCTGTAAAGCGATGATGATTTGTTGAAACTCTTCCCACACTGAATGCATGTGAACGGTTTCTCTCCAGTGTGGATCATCATATGTTGATTAAGGTGCGATAATTGGCTAAAACTCTTCCCACACTGAGTGCATGTGAATGGTTTCTCTCCAGTGTGGATCCTCATGTGAATCTTCAGTTTGCATTTGCTTACCAAACTCTTTTCACAGTGAGTGCAGGTAAAACAACTCTTACCTCTCACTTTTAAAAAACCATTAGTCTCTAAATGAGTTTTGTCTTCAATATTGACATGATGTTCCTCCTCTTTATTCTCATCGTAGTCTTTAATTAGGTCTGAAATAAAAAAAAGTTCAGTTTTTAGTAAATCATTAAAATTCTCATCAAAAGCTGAAGTGAAAAGGCTCTAAAACATTGGCTACACAAACCTTAATTTTAATGCAAATTAAATGTAAAGACATAGCAGATCATATTTAGATTGATCTTGTCATATCAACCTCCTGGTGTCCATTACACACATACACATTTAAGCTAGCGCTGTCAAAATTAACGCGTTAACGCATGCGATTAATTTGAAAATGCGTTAAAAAAAAAAAAGAAATTAACACAGTTTTTTTTCCTGTTGTGGCAAGGGGCAGTTTCCCGCTGGGTCGACGTACGTTTTGGGCCGGGCCAGGGCCGAACTGGGACTCTTTTTCAGCCCTGGAGTTTCAAGCCTCAGACCGGCTTACATCAGTTTACCACTGACTATATTAAAATAAGGTTATTTCCAATTCAGTTTCTAATTACACTATCACGTTTTTTTTTTTTTTGGAGAAAACAGCTCTTTTAGAACTTCAAATGTTCAACAACCCAAACAGTATCATGTCTTAACAATAAAAATGAAAAAAAAAAAATTTAACCAAACGGTCCACAAGGACTGAACCCAGGTTAGCCGCGTCATAATCTAACGTACTAACCACAACAGCTGTACGTTGAATGGCGACTTATCTAGTTATATCATCATTAACCTGCAGGCTGCATCCTGCTCACGAGGCTACAAGAAAATAGATAAAAAGAGCAGAGCTGCGGTAAAATAATGAATAAGAAGGCTGTGGTCAAGTAAATAAATAAATTATTTTTAAAAAGTGTGACTGCTGAGAGCAACAGATTCTGGAACTAGGGACACCGGCCCTCGCGGCCAAAAAACAGATGATCATCTGGGCTCATCTTCTTATGATCTGATCGGCAAAAAACTTGGCAGACTATCGTGTTTTTCTGCCTAAGCGATTGACAATCCTTTGAGCTGTCACGCTCTGAAAGTAAGATGTTTCTTTTCCGGACAGAGTGGCCTTGTGACATAATCTGCAGCCCATTGGTTCTTTTCTTTATTGACGTTGGGCTGACCCAATCACAAACTTCCATGTTGTGCTATGTGTAACGTAGGTGTGTATTTGTCAGAATAGTCGAGAGTCGCACCTTATGCGCGAGTCCGAGGGAGAGCAGAAGCGGAGAGCAGGCATTTGCCATTTGCATCTGCGCTCTGCAGCATGCAGCGGGGCACAAATCAATATATTCCTGTCTATTCTATTTAGTTACCTCTCTGTCCATATAAATATACTTTTTTTTACTTTTAATCTCCACCCTGGCCCGCGGCAACTTCCTCCTATGCTGTTTCCTTAACCTGCAAGTCTTTATTTTACAAATTAAAAAAGAATGTCTGCTTCTAAAGCTCTGAGGAGTGTTATTCATGTATTTTAAGATGCACTCGGTCAGAAGACAAGCGCATGAGATATCATGACATTGTGTTTTTAATCATCAGCATGATGTAGGCTTATAGTGACAATAATATTTGTACAATATGGTTATAATAATATTTATACATGACCAATCTAGTGTGCAACTTAAGCAACTTTTTTTTTACATTTAGTTTTGTAGTTCGGACAGAAACAAATATTTGTTGCATTTTTTAATTGTTTAAGTTCATTTGATTGACAATGTAAAATCTTTTAGCAACGTTTGATGTTTCATTGTTGAGTTAAACATTTTTTTAGGGTCTCTGACACATTGCTTTTATTTTATTTATCTTTATTTTATTAATCAACATTAACTGTGCATCAGCATGCAGTTTTTGTTATGTTCATTATTTATTAGGCTCCCTCAAAACACACAGGCACCCACATTTCCAGTCTGGATTAAAATGTTATTGTAATAATAAATATTAAAGGGGTGGTCCAGAATGTAATTTTAAGGCTTGGTTGTGTTTATAAGATACAAAGCAATGTGTGCTTATGTTTCACTTGAAGGAAATCGCATAATTTTTTCATAGATCTCACTTTGATTATACACAGCTACTCAGCTAACATGAAAATGACTGTCATATTTCCTAGTTCCTCTAAAAGGCCCGCCCTCAAGTGACTCTGATTGGTCATCGTTATAATGTGCTGCTATTGACGGATCGGCTCCACTTCACGCCCATAAAACCACGCGCTTTTCTGCTGTGTAAACATGCAGTCAACCTCGCGCCCGCTCTCTAAAATAACATCTGACAAGTGTCTGTAACTAAGGAGTGAAAATGGGGTGCAGCTCCTTTAACAGCGTCTGTGTGTGCGTTTATGTGTGTGTGAATGTGTGAACTTTCTTTAGCAAGCGCATGTGCGCGGGACTTTCTTTTTCTCTGATGCTCGGATTAAGTTATTTTCTGTAATATATCGTGACAGAAGAATAAAGCACAAGATGTGAGATGCTACCTGTTGAGCCTTGATTTATTATTCTGCTGCGACCACTAGTCAGGTAAGCTAATCTGTATTTTTTTTTAACTCCATGCGTTACACGATGTCTTTCATGAGTATCCGGAATATGCCGGTGTAAGTAATATAAATCATCCACATATCTTTTGCAACTTTATTATCTGAGATGTGAAACACATGGAAACGCTGCCTGAAGACAATCAGTGCAGTCCCGTGCGCACACACATAAGAGACACGAACGTGCTGGTTGTGAGTGTGTGTTACAGCAGTTTGGCTGATAGATATGAATTTGTAGCTAAATCGTTTGCCCGCAAAGCAGCATTTTGCATTGTTTACATTATTGCTACAGCATACAGTTAACGCTAGACACTGTACATGTCATGATCAATTTTAACAAATAAAAACACTTACTTGTAGCTTACAACTTCTGCTTTGAGGAGATTTTAGCCGAATCCAGCACTGAACTGGGAGAGATTCTGGAGCTGTTTTGTCAAATTATGCTTGCTGAGTATTTTATAATTCTCTGGAAGATAATTAATATTGAACTGAAGGCACTTCTGTCTTTGTGTCGTGTCCTTTGGTAGCCCAAATACAGAAACAGACGAAGCTCTGTGGAAACAGCCGTGTTTAGACGCATTTTTAGCTTCATCTCTGCTATAACGTTACATTGCTTCTGGCCACGGCCCTTACCTGCATGCACAATGTGGGGTGCGCAGTAAACAAACTTGTGACGTCACAGGGGGCGGAAGTATTTTTTTGTAGTCCCCAAAATTCGTTCATTGTAGTCTTTGCTAAGCTAACTCTGTAAAAACCAAGGTCTCCCTTTCCATTGAACTTAGAACTTTTTACACTCAGAGACATTTTTTATGTTCACACAGCTACATTACACATCAACTAAAGTTTAAAATATGAAATCGTAGTGGACTACCCCTTTAAGCGTGGACGTTTAGTTCAGCTCATTCAAGTCAGGCTTTTGACTTTAATCCCCGCTTTTCTAAACCACTTTATTGAAATAGCCCCCTGATCTTTATTGTTTTAGAACTTCAGTTGCCTATTAGAGAAATGACCAGGAATAATAAACTGCAGAAAACAGTCTCACTACTTGCTCTACAAACAGGTGTGTTCATGACTATACATACAAATAAAAATAATAAAATGAGAAAATATGACTTTGCAACATCAAGCAGCATTAGGCATGGTCCAGTATAGGATACTGACAGTATAATAACCTAAAATATATTTTCTTCTGAGACACTTTTAAAATATTTTTGAGCAGTAAACATGTCAGGCTAAATCATTCTAATGAATCACAGATTTCTTTACGATTTAAAACAGCATCTTTGTTCTTCGGTCTGCAGGGCCCGGTTTTTCAAAAGGTTTAATCCGGATCAAATTGATCCAGATTTAGTAATTCTGTTTTTGCGATCCGTGATCAGGTAATCCAGCATACTTTTTGAGCCAGTTTTTCAAAGCAACATCGGATTGGATCATTCTGATCCGGATAGGAACTTTTCAGGATCACTAAATCTGGATTACCAGTGCTCAAACAGGAGAGGAAATCACAATGTAGAACTATAGATATGTAGAGTGACAAGTAGAATAGCCAGCAAGGGGCCAATATAACTTTAATTTTTGTTTTAATGAAAACTAAGAAAATTTAAGAAATATTAAATCAATAATAATAATAAATAATAAAAACAATAAAAACCCCACCCCATTCTCTTCCAGCAGTCCGCTCATCTGAGACCTACAACACAAATACTGTACATTGAGGATATTTATAATAAGTTTTAAATATAGATTTAAATAAAAAAAAAACTTAATGTCAAAAACTCCACAATAAGTTCAGACTTCCTTATCTGATGTGGAGAGAGCAGCTTGTCTGAGCGTAGCCTTTAGGAGGCGGATCTCAAGTCTGGCCTTGGTTTGCTGCAGCTTGGTCAGAGTCAGTTGTTCCTCTGCCAGATAAAGCTGTGCGTCTGCTCTTTCAGTCTCTTTTTGCAATTGTTGAAAGAGATTTCAAAAATCAGTCATTGCCATTTTTTGTTTATCCTGTAATCATTGCTATCATCACTAATAAATATTCTAATAAGAAAAATATTTTCCATTGTGATGAATATATATATATATATATATATATATATATATATATATATATATATATATCAATTAGAGACAGAATAAAATTGATTGTTTTTGGTAAATTTTCACAGCTGTTTGGGGGATTATTTTATGAGGCCAAACTCTTTCTACTTTGCTGGAGGCCTATACAGAAAGGCTAAATACGTTAAAGCCAATAATCACTATAGCCTGACAGATGAACAAATAAAATTAAAACCTTATGAATAAATAGTATATCTATACTGCATGATACAAAAATAGTATTATTTAATAAATTTTTTAAGTTTTCATTACATTTTAGGCATGAAATCCACGCTAAATCCAC